CTGACAGCAATTTTAAGATCTTTGCACAGCTTTTCAATGGTATTTAGGTTCAGTCTCATTGCTACTTCATAGCTCACCAACACTTTATATTTGTCCTTTTCTTGGTGTTTTTTTTTTTTTTTTAAGTATGTTTGGTATCATTGTCCTACTGTAAAATCCTTGGCCCATAAGGCAAACCCAGTTTTCTGAAACTGGGCTCTAAATTGCATCCTCAAAACACCATTGAACCTACATCAGATTTGAATCTAGGTACAGTGTTCTTTTGTTTGCAGGCCTCTTTCTGGTTTTGATAAATGGTAAAATTATGTCGTTTATGAAAAAAAAACCTCTGTGGCACTGTTGACAAAGGAACATTTCATTTCTGGAATTTTAGAAATAAGTGGGGAAAAAGACTGAAAGAATAAAGAGAAGTGCAACAAAGCGGAGAATTTAGCTGTAAGAGGGAGCTCTTTCTTTTCAAATGCAAAACTAAAACTTGTGAAAACATAGTTTCAAACTTTAATGTGACATCAGAAAAAGACTTATATAGTTATTTGTCAAGGGAAGAGGGAGAAGGTGATAGAAATGAGTGTTATAGCTTCAAGACAGAAAATAACTTCTAACATCATATGAACAGAATGGAGAGAAGTCTGTCCTTCACTGGTTTATTGATAGATGCTGACAAAATGTGTTGCACCAAAATTCTGGCATCATTCAAAAGTCGCTACATTTCTCCCCATTGTGGTTAATGCTGCGCAAAGGCAATAACTCTGACGATTCTCTGTCTTTTTTGCCCCCATAATAACAAAGTTATCACTTTCTCTAGCTAATCTCTTCATGATTTGTTGTTCATAACAAACTGTGATACTACATCATGATAAAGATCTCAAAATGTGTTTACATCAATAACAACTGGTGTAAAAATGCTAGAATAGTCACAAGTTTTTGCTCTCCGGACATAGAGCTTCTGACTGTTAGCTGCAGACCCTTTTACCTGCCCAGAGAGTTCACTGTTGTTACCATCACAGCGGTGTATGTCCCCCCCAGCGCTGATACAAAGGAGGCCATGAGTGTTCTCTATCGGACTGTCTCTGAGCTGCAATCTACACACACAGAGGGCGTTTTCATCATTGCTGGAGATTTTAATCAGGCGAATATGAAAACTGTTCTCCCTCATTTTTATCAACACGTGGATTTTGCTACTCGTGGAGAGAACACTCTGGACTTAGTTTATACAAACATAAAAGACGCATTCAGAGCAGCCCCCCGCCCCCACATCGGCTCCTCAGACCACCTTTCTGTGATGCTAATTCCTGCATACAGACCCCTGCTGATCAGAGCAAAACCTACAGTGAAGCAGGTGAGGGTCTGGACGGAGGGGGCCATGGAGGCACTCCAGGACTGCTTTGAATGCTCTGAATGGGACATGTTCAAATCAGCAGCAACATATGACAACAAGATCAATGTTGATGAGTACGCCATGACTGTTTCAGCCTACATCAACCACTGCATCGAGGACGTCAGCACAACAAAGACCATCACCACCCGAGCCAACCAACGGCCCTGGATGACTGAGGAGGTCCGCCACGCGCTGAAAGCACGGAACTCAGCCTTCAAGTCTGGTGACAAGGAGGCACTGAGGACAGCTAGAGCCACCCTGAACCGTGCCATCAGGTTAGCAAAGCGGAACCATAACCAGAAAATCCAGCATCTGTTCCACGACACCAACAACACCAGGAGCATGTGGCAAGGCATACGGGCGATCACGGACTACAACACGCCCCCTGCCCCGGTGGATGAAGTTGATGCTGACTTCCTAAACGGACTAAATAACTTCTTTGGGAGGTTCGAGGCACTAAATCGCACTCCAGCAGTGAAGGCTGTCCCACATCAGGAAGAGGAGGTGCTCTGCCTTGACACAGCCGACTTGTGGAAGACTCTGAGGAGGGTCAACCCGCGGAAGGCCCCAGGTCCCGACAACATACCTGGGCGGGTGCTCAAGGAGTGTGCAGGTCAGCTAGCTGGTGTCCTCACGGACATTTTTAACACCTCTCTGGAGCAAGCCACAGTGCCAGCATGCTTCAAGTCTGCCTCCATCATCCCAGTGCCAAAGAAACCTCAAGTCACCTGCTACAACGACTACCGGACCGTCGCACTGACTCCCATCATGATGAAGTGCTTTGAAAGGCTGGTAAAGGAACATATCGTCTCCAGTCTCCCCCCAACACTCGACCCGTTCCAGTTTGCCTACCGGCGAAACCGGTCCACTGAGGACGCCATCTCCTCTGCTCTTCACCTGAGCCTGGCCCACCTGGAGGAGAAGAACACCCACGTGCGGATGCTGTTCCTGGACTTCAGTTCAGCGTTTAACACCATCATCCCACAGCACCTGGTGGAAAAGCTGGAACATCTGGGCTTCAACACACCCCTTCGAAACTGGCTGCTGGACTTCCTCACCAACAGACCTCAGTCGGTCCGGGTCGGTCAGAACACCTCTGACGTCATCACCCTCAGCACGGGCTCCCCTCAGGGCTGCGTCCTGAGCCCCCTGCTGTTCACCCTGATGACATATGACTGCGTCCCCAGGTTCACCACCAATCACATCGTGAAGTTTGCGGACGACACAACGGTGGTGGGCCTCATCAGGGATGACAACGACCGGGACTACAGAGAGGAGGTGGAGCAGCTGGTGGGCTGGTGCAGTGAAAACAGTCTGATCCTGAACGTGGAGAAGACGAAGGAGATCATCGTCGACTTCAGGAAAAACCGCCCCCACCATGCTCCACTGCTCATCAACAGCTCAGCTGTGGAGGTGGTCAGCAGCACAAAGTTCCTGGGGGTGCACATCACGGACAACCTCACCTGGACTGTAAACACTTCATCTCTAGTGAAGAGGGCACAGAAGCGCTTGTACTTTCTGCGGAGGATGAGGAGAGCCCGCCTGCCCCCGCCCATCCTCACAACCTTCTACAGAAGCACCATAGAGAGCATTCTGACCAGCTGTCTCTCTCTGTGGTGTGGAGGCTGCAGAGCCTCTGACTGGAAGAATGTGAGGAGGGTGGTGAGGACAGCAGAAGGAATCATTGGGGCTCCTCTTCCCTCCATTAAGGACATTTCATCACAGCGCTGTGTGTCCCGAGCCCGTAATATCATCAAAGACCCCTCACACCCCCACCATGGACTGTTCTCCCTGCTGCCCTCTGGAAAGAGGTTCCGCAGCATCTGCTGCAGATCCACCAGGTTGTGCAACAGCTTCTTCCCCACTGCCATCAGACTGTTGAACCTTTGATCCACAAACCAAACTCTGCACCTATTGCACATTATCGGGCATCAAATGCTGCTGAACTTTTAACTTTTAGCCCTTTAATTGTTCATCTCATTCTATTTTCAATAACGCATTTTTTGCACAAATGCCTATTTGCACTGAATCCACTGCAACTTGCACACTGTCTCTTATCCTCTGCACTGTTCACACTTTGACCACTGCTGCACTTTTTGTATTTTTCTATAACTTGAGCCATTTGAAATATCAATGCAACGTTCATAAGCTGTATGTAACGCAATTTCGTTCTGTATGCACCCTGTGCATACAAAATGACAAATAAAGAAGTCTAAGTCTAAGTCTAAGTCTAAAATGTCATTCCCGCGTAGACTTTAACACCACATCATCCTTTTCACACTGCATCCCATTTGGACTTTTTTCCCCCTCCAACTCAGAATTTTCAGCTGAAGCGCCTCTGAAAGTAGGAAATACGATTAATGACAACACCTTCATATCTACCGTTTGCTTATTGCAACTCTAATAAGCAATATTCAAACTTTCCTACTTTAACAGTTCAAGTACGTTTTATCAGTCATACACCTGTTATTTTTTTCACTGGGTGTTGTAAGGGGGAAACTGGAATGCTCGAAGGTATCTTCACTCCGTTCACCTCAAGCTAATGCGTTATACTCCAAGACTGGAAGGGGAGCTAGGATAATTAGACATCTGATTTCATTTGGCTGAGACACAGAAAAAGAGCATGCATCTTAAGAAAACTAATAAAATAATACATTTTCTTTTTAAATTGATTGTATGCACGTAAAAAAAACATGCAGCTACTTTGATGATCCGATGATTTAATCTACTCAAGTTGACAGTTTTGACAGCGGCTTAAGCTGTTGCTGCATCTTCCCTCAGCTTTAAGGTGGTGTACCTTACATTTAAGACTACATTTGTTTCCTAATCCTAGATCAAAATGCATTTATTATAGATAGTGATCCATCCTTTCCAACTGTTTACGACCACATAGCTCACCCACACTTCCTGTATAGAGGATTTTTTAAATTTTCATAAATTTGTCTCTCCAAATAATTAATTTATATACTCCATTAACCTTTATTTTATTACTAGAAAAGTCTACATTCTGTAATTTCTGTGGGAGATTTTGCTTTCAGAAACTAGGTAAACTTCTCTCTAAAATAAAAACCTTTTTTTTATGCAGGATCGATTCAAAAAGCTTAGTTTCAGGAAAGTGCACTTTAAAATGACCTATTTTGTTGTTATTTTTCTAAAGTACAATGATATATGCCCTTTAAGAAGTAAATTTCATGTTTGTGTATCATGGTTATAAGTATGTATAGCCATATAGATATATCTGTTATCTAAAAACACTTTTACTCTGCCTGTTCTCCAAATGCAATATTACAGCGGAAATGTGTTGTGACTGAAACGTCTCCATTCATTCTTGATTTCCTTGAATTGTTTGAAAAATTTACTAGAAATTAAATTGAAAGGATGCGTATCAGAACATATATACGGTGTGTCAGGCTAAGATAATGAAAGCATCTGGCACAGCTCGAAGGAAATCTGTTTGATTGAGACATTTCAGTTCTTTTCTACTTTTCTTGTGGGTTTCTAAAATTAATCTCCAATGATGATCATCCTCTCACTTGCATGCCTGTTTTGATTTCATCCCTTTTACATGTTTTTGAAACTAATGGCTTTTTTGTCTTTTTCACCAAACCCTTTATAAACACAGTACGGAAAAGTCCTGCAGTACAGCGACCCCTCAGTAATCTTTGTGTTCCTGCTGGTGTTCTGTCTGGCCACCATCTCCCAGTGCTTCCTCATTAGCGTCTTCTTCTCTAAGGCAAATTTAGCGGCGGCATGTGGCGGCCTCATCTTCTTTCTCCTCTACCTGCCACACAGCCTCTGCTATGCCTGGAGGGACGTTATGGGTTTCGGGGCCAAGGTGGCTGTGGTAAGTCCATCTTTACCTTTAACATTGTTCTTTTTTTGTATCTCTCCATGCTTTCATTATATATAAGAAAAAATGTATTCAGTCTTCCTGCAAGGTTATATTTTTGCTCTTTAACTCAAAATTTGTAGGTGACAGCTGTGCATTCTATGTCTATCCACTCTCCTTTTAATAAAGATCTATTCTGTAATAAAAGGAAGTGCGTTCATCTCTAGCCCCAGTAATGTCTATCTCAGATTTGTTATTGTGTTTGCAAGCCAGCAGATAGTAAAATTGGATCTGTGAAGCCTTCCAAATGAATTAAGCATTGTATTAACATTAAAGGACAATGCAGCTGCTTGTAGCAAATGCTTTTTGTATTCATGATGTCCTCATACATTTTTTTATGGTTTGTTTGTTCTGGCATATTTTCACGTGAGAATTCTCATGAAAGGGCTGCATAAATATAAAAGCAGGCTCGCACAGTGAAGATTTTTTCGTATTTTCTCCTGTTTCTGAGTGATAAAGATAAACAGTGTACCATTGCTCAACTTTCAGCGTAGCCTTTCTGTGTGACCTTTAACGTGGTTCTGGTATCATTTGTCTTCCCAATGCCTCTTGCGGACACTAGGATGAGAAATCTGGATTCTTGATTGCAATATGTGCCAATGCTTTCTTTAAAAAGTTAAAATAAAACATGTTATCTGTTAGGCCCGCCCAATCTTTACTCAAGATGTTTATATATTCCTCTTACTACACTAGACAAGAGAGATATGATATATTTATATTTTTTATTATAAATAGTTATGAGGTAAAGAATGATACAAGTTGTTTTTTTTTTCTTTTTAAAGCATCAACACCTAAAAAGTGGGGTGTACAGTATGGTTGTATTCAACAAATTTGCAGAACTATACTGCATATAGGCTACATCTCTACCAACTTTACTCAATGGCAGACTGTTTTGTAAAACAGCTTCAAATCAGTTATATTGGATGAACCTTTCCTTGCAATTTTTAAGTTTTGCCAGCTTCTCTATCCCTATCGGGATGCAGAAATATTTTTGTGTACAGTGAGGAACTTAAGTATTTGAACACCCTGCTATTTTGTAAGGTCTTCCACTTTGAAATCATGGAGGGGTCTGAAATTATGATCATAGGTGCATGTCCACTGTGGGAGAAATAACCTAAAAAAAATTTAATCCAGAAATCACAATATATGATTTTTAAACTATTTATCTGTATGATGCAGCTGCAAATAAGTACAACTCTCCCTTTAACAAACCCACCTCCCCTCCATTTATTATCCTAAATTAGATGCACCTGTTTGAAGTCGTTAGCTGCAAAATAGCATGGTGTTCAATACTTATTTTCCTCATTGTATGTAAGCTTGGGCTGTGTTCAAACTCATGGGCTGCGTTCTCAGAATGCCAGATTTGAAGGCCTATTACATCATAGCATGGCGCCGAGGTCGCGTCGGATTCCAAGATTCCTCGTTATGCAGCCTACAAATGCGTCCTTCTTTTGCCCGATTTGAACGATGGATCGGATGGATCCTCGGTATCCTTGGATATCCCAGAATTAATTGCGAGACCAAGCAAGGAGGCTGCTCCGTGATCAGAGGAAATGGTACTTGCTGCCGAACAGTGGTGAATATTGGAAGTTCCGCTTAATATAATCCAAATCTTTGACTAGTTCCGTCTGAAATGAATGAAAATAGTTGTGTTAATGGTTACTGAGTCAGATATGTGGCAGATAATGTTTGATTTATCGAAAGGTTTTTATTTGTTAATGTGTAAATGGGTTTGGTTGTAATTTAAGGACAGATTCTAATATATCTGCAGTGTGGGGAATATAAATCTGATAGGTTTTAATTTTTTTATTGCTGTTTTGCACAATTTGCTTAATATTAGAATATTAGAGATTTTGCAGATATATGTATAATATAGACAATGCTTAGATGTATATCTTTCTACCCCTTTTATAGAATAGAATAGAAAATCCCTTTATTGTCCCACAATGGGCAAATTTACAGCAGCAAAATGATTATTGAAAATGGTCACACAAATGTACACCTTAGAAAAATGTGTATGAATAACTTAATAGGGAAGAGTTAAAATATATACAATAAAATACTGTACTGTAAAGTGTTTTAACAATACAAAACCGTGAACCTGTAGAATAAATAACCAACATACACCTGGGGACATTTTTACAGTAATGGATATTTGAAAATAGCAGCAACATCCGAGATGATAGAGAGATGACAGCATTATGTTATCTAACTGATTACGGTTTCTATCATTGCATTTGCTTTTATTTGTTCATGCTCCCAGTGGTTGTCACCTTTATTCCACTCTGTATTCACATGAGTGTCTTTGTTCACTTTACAATAAAAAAAAAAAGAAAAAAATTATGAAAAAGAAACATGTCATGGTTGCTAAGCGACAGAGCGTACGGCAGTAAAAGCCGCAGAAGGGTAGACCTGTTTGAATTCACAGCCAAAACTCTTCCGGTCTCCTTATTTTCAAGGACTTCAAAGGATCCAGGTCCAGTCCTGTCCAGCACGTCCTTTGAAGACACAGCCCATAAATTTGAACAGTTTTGAATGTAGACTACAAAGTTTACTTTAGGTGTTTTCTCACCAGTACACTTTCTTTTACAATTATTGAAAGTTTTCTTAAATGGCTTGTGGAGAATAAGACACTCTCTTTCAGCAGGGGCTTTGCTGTCAAGCCTCCTTAAAAGCCATATAGTGGTAGGTATACTTCCAAAAGTTCTGAGATACTCTCACCAGCTTTGCAGGTCTCTTCATCTTCTGCAGTTACCTTTGGCCTCTTGGCTACTTCCCTGATTATCTCATTAGCCGGTCTGTCAGCTAAACTAGAGCCCTAAACTAATAAAGGTTTAATACAGGTTGCAACATTGACCTAATAGATAAAGGAATTTTCTGTGTTTTATGGGACTGTTGGCAAACATACACACCATTGAAAATGAAGCCACATGTAGCTAGCAGCATCAGCCATTTACAAACACAGCTAGACGCCTCTTCTCTTCTTATTGCCCTTCTTGATTTCCTAAATGAGTAACTGCAACACATAGGCAGAGATAAGAAAGTCTGCTCTTTTCTGACTCCCTTGTCTATTTGTAAGTGAGAAATTTGAACTTCAAAAAATTTTTATAATTTTTTTCTTGAATTGAGGAGGTAAGTGAGACGAGGCACTTCAGATTTAAAATTGGAAAAAAAGTGCATAATATCTAATTATCTTATTTTAAGGCTAATCATACTCATTCCATTGGCAATAATCTTATTTACCCACTCAAATTAAGGTTAAATACACTTAATTGAAGAATTTTTGCAGTGCGGCTGTTGTTCTCAGTTTAAGAATTGATTTTAGAGATTTTTTTGTCACCAGAAAAGAGATTTAAAGGGGATTAAACGAAGAGGCCCTAGCCAAGATGACCACTGCTTAAAACAAATCCACTGCAAACATAGAAAGTTCACACATATAAAGTTTTTTTTTAAAGTTACAAACGGTTGGTTATAAAAGTAAAAGGTAATACGTGATCTGGGCAGCATTTACATTGTTTTAATTTGATCTAACACACTCTGTGACACAAGATCTTTAAAATTCAGCTTATTTTAGAGGTAATTCCGCAAAGGAGGAGCAGAATATTTGATGTCTTAATGTTCAGTTCAAAATAGCAAGCCTTTGGTTTTTCCCAACAAAGTATGCATTTGTGCTGATTTTTTTATGATTATGTAGGAATATGCATATAATAAAAGATCCCCACTCATAGAAAGTCAGAATTTTATTCTATAATAGCTTAGAGTTTATTAGAGACTAGAACCAGATTTTAAACTCTAGAGCCGCTGGTTCAGTGTTAGAAAGAAAAGCAGTAATACTTTGATTAAGCATCTAGAAAGCCTGTCTTTGTGTTATCAGTTACTCTTTTATTTTATATTAAACTCAGATAAAACAACATACAAACACAATGACTTTGATGCTGAGTGATTTAATCTTTGTAGAATGTTGTTTTGTTTCCCAAAGCTAATCAGAATTTGTAGGGACTGTTTTCACCTGTGTGCCGGGTACAGTATGCTGTGCTTTGACCACTTCCTTTCTTTTTGTAATGAGATACTGTAGAAATAGGAGAGGGACTACACTTCCTTTGTGCTGGATAACCAGAGACATTTTCAATTAGCCATTAAGCCCAGGAAAATCCTGAAAATTGCTAAGCTTCCAAAATATAATGTGGAACTTGTAAGGCTTTGCAGTGAAATCAATTAATTGATCTTTGCTTCTTAGCAGTAGCTTTGAGTCCGCTGGCATACATTGGAATCTACACTAGAAAGAAAAACCCTCCAGGACAAGGTTATTGTCACTGTCAGTTAGGTTGAGTTTGGCATTGTTTCAGCATTTGTTCTGAAAAATACAGGGCAGAGGCAAAAATGTTAACAGATAAGATTACAGCTTTGCATTGCCATAAACATTATGTTGTTGAATGCTGATGTTTATGTCAACTTTGAGCTTTTAACAGAACACTATGTCTACAACATAGTTAAAAAAACAGTGGCTCTAAAAATAAAGTTTTGAATTTCATTTACTCTTTGATTTGTCAAGCTTCAAAATATTTTAACAAAGTGTTAGACCAATATAATCTACAATAATCCTACAACATGAACAATAATACACATGAAAATATAAAGGTGTGACAACACAACAATTCATAAATACTGGAAGGTAAATTAAGGAGAAAATACGCTCGGATCTTATTTAATTTAAATGTCAAACCAATATATGTATTTCTTTACAATAATGTTTTGCGAAAAAAAGAAAAACCTACCTGGCTGTAAGTTAATACCGTAGTTGGACCTGGATCTGGTTCTGGGGTCGTCAGCTAGAGGTTTTGTCAGCTGGAGGTGGTCGCTGCCCCAGCGACAAGGTCCTGGATTATTGGAAGAAAATGAGTACCGTACAAGTACCTGGAGATTAAGAAAAATTTTTTTGCACATAACCAAAAATAGGAACTGCCTGGCCTGCCCAAGCTTACTAAACATACAACTGAAATGGTTTATATCGAGGCAAAAACATGGGCTAAAATGTCTAGATTGAAACCCAGTTGTGAATCTGTGCTAAGATTAATTTTTGCAGATATTTTTTTTTTGTCCTATACAGTAGCAGCCAGTTAATATGACCCTTACCAGTCAAACGGCAGCTGAATGGCAGCCAACTTCCAGCCACTGGAGAGACCCCCCCACTTCTCCTGGGAGTGCATATTTTTTTACTCTGACCTCCAACCTTTCACTAAATTACAGGGTCGGACGAGGAGATAGCGTAACTGAATACAAATACATCCCCCAAATTTCCATTTTCTGTATTTTCATGAGGAGTTTTGCAAAGTGCATATGTCCTGTCCATCCTCCTTACTCTTACATTTACTTTGTAATTGTCTGTGACATTGTTGTTCAAATTAAATGGACAAAGGTTAAATGCTTGTAACATGACAATGGGAAAAAGGGAATCGAACAACCTGCTTTTAAGTAAAATAGATTTGAACTTTTTAAACTATGTTCAAAAGCACTGAAAAAGAAAACTGGTGACTAATTTTCAGATTTAATAGGAAAATACCGGAAATGTTGTAATTGTCAATTATCTGTTAAGGTTTGAAATTTAAGAAGTGTAGTATTTTTCTGTTCCAGTCTTCAAAATATTTAATCTTTGAAATGTTGGCTGATAATTACACTTAATCTAATATGTACAGGACTTTGTAAGGAAAGCCTCTTCAAACAGAATGGTATTTATCACTGCTGGGATCTTTGTCTTTCCAGCGATGCTTGTCGAAAACGTCTGGGTACAAAAAGAGCAGTCACCTTGATTACTCTTCCTCTTAACAATGGATTTTGTCCAAAGCCAGCTGAATTATGTCTAAATCTCCAGTTTGACATGTGTTCAATAAGAGGGGGCTTGTTTTGTCTGCCTCCCAACTCGTGCCCTTTTCTAAACAGCCAAAAGGATTGGGCTCTTGTTGTTATGTCAGCCGTTCATTCAGAGGTCAAGGATGGGCGCCCATTGGCCCTGCTGTCAGCCCTCATCTGCTGACTGATTGGCAGATGGGCAGCGGAGGGCAGCACATGACGCTGCCAGTAGGGTTAGGAGCCAGGGAGGGTAGAGGTTTGGCCACAACCACTGAGCTTCTCTCTCCCGCTTTCTATCTCTATCTCTGTGTAGTTGTGTATCCTCAGCTATCCATGATGATTCGTCTCTCAAGCTTCAGCAAACACTTCTGCAGGAGTATAAATGCTGTGAGCAAATGAGGTGTGATGAAACAGCTGGCGGGCAACATGGCAATGTGGAACGAGGGGCCATGGCAGATGATGTCTCACACGGGCAAAGCATCATTTGCAATTTCCTGCTGTATGAAAAATCCAACAGATTTTTGTTTGCAGCAGATGGATTTGGGTGTCCGTCCTGTCGGGTGGTAACAGTATTTCAATGCCTCACCTAAATTTAGTTATCAGAAATGGTTAATGAAGCTTTCTTCTTTTCTTATATATATATATATATATATATATATATATATATATATATATATATATATATATATATATATATATATACACAGTATAAAGCACGTTTTTACCTGTGATGCAATAAAAAAGATTAATGCATATTTGTGAAATCAACCTAAACTGACTGGCCAAGATCTAAGCAATAAGAACACTAATCAGAGAAGCAGACTGAGTCCCATGTTAACATGCATATCTGTTCACTAACCTCTATGGAAGAAGTCAAATTTTAAGTTAACAAGAGCTACTTTGTACACTGAACCCAGCATCCATTTGAAATCGATTGCTATGGTTATACGACCAAAGTTAGACCTTTAACTTATATTTGATTTTAAAAAAAGCTGTCATATATGTATGCTCCTTTTTCTTCCTTTGGCACATTCTTCTCCTTTGACTATTTGAGATAATGTAACGAGTTCATTTTTCCACTGTGAGAACAATAAAGTCAATCAATCAATCAATCAATCAATCAATCAATCAATAAAAACACTGTGTAATGAAAATAGTAACACTACACATCACCCTAAACACACCATCCACAGAGTAAAAAATGGTGGTGGTGGCTTCTTCATGCTGTGGGTATGGCTGATTTGTAGGGATAGGACAGCTGATTTGTGCTCAGTGGAGCAGTAGGTTAACCTGACTCCGCCAGATGGATTTGCTCCGCATATCCATCTGGAAACCTTCCGTTGAAGTAATTTTGGGAAGGGGCGAAAATACTGGTTAGCTGATTGGCCTATGTTGGTGATAGACGGGCCAAATAAAACAATCAGATCAACGAAGCATATGACCTAACAGAGCGACGACGAAGAGGAGCCAATTGATAGATCAAACTCTTGCTAAAACCAGTTGGGAGAAGAGCAAAAACATCTTTTCCTCTGAGAAAAGCCTTTAGAGCAGTGATTTGCTCTTCTTTCAGTGAAGAAATACAGTGTAATTCCGATAAAACTTGCTCAAAGCCAACGCTGATTGGACGTTCGTTTGGTGAACGGCTCCAAATTTTCTTCAATGGAGAGTCTCCAGACTGATTAGCGAGTGAAATCTTGAAAGCTAGCAAGATCAGGATGGTCTCATGAGGCTAGCAGTAGGTACCACTGCTGCCAAGCAGCAAGAAGGTTCCTGGTTTTCTTTCTGCATGGAGTTTGTATGTACTCCTTGAGCATGCATGGTTTTCTCCGGGTACTCCGGCCTTCTCCCACAGTCCAAAAACATGACTGTTAAGTTAGTTGGCTTCTCTAAATTCTCTTTGATGTGAGTCTTTGCATGAATTGTTGTTTGTCCTGTGTTTCTCTGTGTTGCCCTGCAATGGACTGGCAACCTGTCTAGGGGTACACCCAGGGTACATGCCAGTAGACTGCTGAAGATAGGTATCAGCATCCCTCTTGACCCTGCTTGGGGTAAGCCTGACGGAAAGTGGATGGATGTGTGGATGGACAGCTGATTTGAGTTGTTGCCAGTCCTGTGAGAGGCTGCAGAAAATGGGACGGATGCAGAGCTTTGACCTCCTGCATGAACCCGACCTGTGATGCACAGCCAGAGCTACAGTGAAGTAACATTGTGTTATGTTTCAGATCTTTAGAGATAATTAAATTTTACTGTTCTCAGATGTTATCCAACCCTTCTGATCAAATTTCAGTATTTTCAAAAACATCCATAGCTAGATGTGTAACTCTGTGAAAGACACAATGAAAAGCTCATACTGCCAACCACTGCACAAACAGGCTGGATAAAAATGCTACACTTTATTACATCTAAGAAAAAAATAGCAGAACACCTGGAGATTGCTGACCTCTGCCAAACAGCAAATGTTGCCCCATATTGTGAATTACACCTATAGCTAAAACTCACACATCATTTGGATCATTATGGAATTTTAATGAATCGTTCATTGACATGAGGAGCCCCTTTGGTAAGAATTTCCTTAAAATCCTTTAATAAGTTCAAGTAAGGCAGGGTGTGTGTCTGCGGCCTCTGGTGTTCTCAACTTCTTCATTAGCTCTGCATTCTTCTTTGATCAACAGAGACTCAATGGCTCCATCTTCTTGTATTTTTTGTATTTTCTCTCTTCATTATATTACTTCTGGACTTTTTTTTGGGGTCCAATGCTGAAATTGTTAATATTTACTACTGCCACTCACTGGGTTTAGTGGAGAATTGATTGTTCTGCCAAATCATTTTAAAGAATACTTTAAGAAATTACTGTATCCGGATTATTATCTAGCTCATCACCATAATTTTACAGATTTTTCCTTAAAAAATGCCAGCAAAATACCTCCATAACTGTTTTAGTTATTTTCAAAATACACAAACCAATGCTGATAAAACTTTTAATACACTTAATACAATTGCAATTATGCAATGCTTTGTGTCTCAGTTAAAGTCCCCTGCCATAAAACACTCAAATGGTTATGTTTTAATGTAATTTAAACGAGAAAAAGAAAGGTACACTTTTATTATGATATTGAAGCAATTATGCTTTATGCAATTTTTGTTGTTGCTTTTCATTTATCTTTACAGAGTTTACTGTCATGTGTTGCCTTTGGCTATGGGTGTGAGAACTTTTCCAAGTATGAGGAGCAAGGCATCGGTATACAGTGGCACAACATCGGCAAAAGCCCTCAGGAGGGGGATCCCTACACCTTTATTGTCTCCCTCGTCATGATGCTCGCTGATGCTGTCCTATACTGGTTGCTAACCTGGTACATTGAAAATGTCTTTCCAGGTAATCATTTAAATCACATCTAAAATAATTATTGGATTTTCTATTGAAGTTTTTGCATGCTTTCAATATTTTTAGAAAAAAAATTTGCATGCTAAAATGTGTCAAATTGTACTGTACTATAAGCCCTTTAAATTAGAAGTCATTCTATTATGCTAAGAGATGAGATCTAATGTTTTCTCATGCCATTAAAAGATATTTAAAGTTCACAGTATACAATGTAATCCTGTTGCCTGTGAGAAAAGTGATTTTATTTATCTGACCTGCTCAGTGACCAATCTAACTAAAAATATCAAAACTAGCTGAATTTTTATGCACTGCAGCAACATGTTTATGGCCCGAGACAGGACGTTAAAATAAACATGGCAAATTTAATGAGAATCATTTGGAGATCAGAGTTGACTTGGTGGGTCGTTATTCTGGATTCAAGAGGTTGTGACAGCAGATTTTTCCCAATTTAAGATGAAAACTTTTGACTTATGAGTGCAAATAGAACAACGCATTGTGCAGCATATATCCAGCTGAGCAGCTGACCTGACTCAGGAACAGAAATCAACACAACAAAAGGGAACTAATGTATGCTACAAGGCTTTTTCAGTGTGTTTAGCCATATTGCCTTTAAAAAAATCTGGCTTACTAAACTTTAACATCATGGGCATAGGTTTGCATAAGGACCATAGGGACATGTCCCTACCCAAATTTTGGACCGACCTATTTGTCCCTACCAATAATTTCATTTGAATAACATGTTTATAAATTACACGCTGTGTGTGATCACAGCCAATTCTTTTTCTCTCGCAGCTCCGCAGCTTAGTAGCTGCTGCTGCCGCTCCATCTGAGTGCTGCCCGGTCTTTCTTGTCCCTTAAAGTCAGTAACTGTGCTGTTTAACTCCACTCTCATTGGTTGTTCTGCCTCAAGTTCCGCCTTCTCTCTTCCTGATTGGCTGTTTTCTAGTCCGTATTTGTGTGTGCGTGCTTGGAGGATGAAATAAGAATTTTACTCACGCCACTTTCTTCAATTAATATTAGGCTACGAAACTAGTCCTAATGAAAAAAAAAACGTAATTCTATTTACACTAAAACAGGCGAAAGCTGCTGATTGCTGATTCTCAGGCACAGCCGACTGAAAAAGAAAATGTGAGGGTTTCCCTTTTAACAATAATTCATTGCATTTTACTGTTTTCATTTTTTGACAACCTTTTGAGGCAGTTCAGCTATAAATAGCAGGTGTTATTTCTTTTATAAGGTATAACAATACGAGATGGCACCTTAACATCTGATATTTTTTGTTTAGAAAGCATGATTATGGTTCCACATAATGTTGCTATTTCTTTGACTATTTCTACTTTTAAAAATAGGATAAAGCCAATAACAAACAGAGGAACACTATTTACATTGATTTAATTTTATATAGATTTCCACACAGTCCATAAGTTAATCAGTATAAACATTAGTGTTTGGTAAAAATGCTTGAATCCGGCTGTATATTTTGGATATTATTACATTACAGACAAGATGGTGTTATATTTTCTTTTAATAATGGTTAAAAGTGATTTTATATTGGAATAAATTTAGCCTCATTCTTAGTGTTGTGTTTTGTAGATGATGCCACTAAATGTAAATACAATAAATGTATTTGCCGTTCCCTGAATGTGTTATTTTGCGTTGGTTGATGATACAGAGAAATCATTTAAAAAATAAGAGTGTGTTTCACCTGTTTACCTTTGTGCAATTATATATCTTCAAAAGAAAATACAGGATAAATCCACATATAACGGGCATATTTAGACTATATTTGGTTAAATTGGCGCATACTTACCTTCTGTCTTAGTCACTGGTAAGTTTAAATGCAAACATTTCCAAAGTGGAAAAAAGTCCTAATTCCACATTCATCAGAGCCAATGATGCTTCAAACATTGATAAACAACATTTAGTGTGTGTAGTGCTTATAAGATTTGTATAAATGTAGCAAGAAAGGCTGCTTTTCTCTTTAAACAAAATGCACTCTGATGCTCACGTCAAGCATAAAAAAAGCATGCATATTTTTTGCATAGGTAAAATGACATTGATGAAAGGACCAACAGTGTCCCTACCAAAGTGGAAATCAAACCTACGCCCTTGTTTAACATTAAAGATTATACAAAGCTAAGTTATATTTCTTATAAGGAGCATATGATATGTTTGTTTTTCTTTTAAATTTTGTTTTAAAAAATGCAGCAAACATCGGCTCATACTCTCCTGAAAAATCAGAGGAAAAAAAAAGATAAATCAAGCCATCTGTTTTGCATATAACCACTTATTATTTTGACAATATCAAATCAAGGCTTCGGCTTGGTTGCTTCAAGAGGTTAAAGAATGTTTTGAAGGCACAAGAAAACATGTAGGATGTATAAATGTTTATAAAAGTTTAATTAAAATCATGAATTTTACCCTTTGAGTTGCCTTTCAGGTATGAATTAATGCTTCTTTTGGATAGAAATAATTTTTTAATGAAATTTTTTTCTTAAAAAAAAAAAAACAACCTTTTTAGTAATGCTACTTTGGATTTTCCATGCACTGATTATTTTTTGTTTTCTTTTTACATTCATTATTGTTTTCTCCTAATACACCAAGTATGAAATTGTTATAACTGCTTTCCTTTATAATCACAGGCCAATTCGGGATTCCTAAGCCATGGTATTTCCCATTTACTTCATCTTATTGGTGCCAGATGAAAGCAGCAACAGAAAATCACCCTGATCTGCCAAAAGACTCTGAGGCTTACAGCGGTAAATGTTGATATCACTTCTGCTCTCACTTTTTGGTGTGCAACTGTCAGGTTCTCTTCCCCCTCTTTAAATTCTGGGGGGAATACAGTTCTGATAATATCTGGAGGTGGGTTGGAGGAGGGTCAGGAACAAACATTAGCACCTAATTTGTCACATCTGGGTATAATAAAGCTTTGTGCTTTAAGGGGAAGAGACAAAAGTTTCACATTAGGGAAGCTGCTAAAAACGAGAACAGAAATCCAATTAACATTCTGAGTAACAAGTTGAGTTTTTTTGTTTAGTTTATTTCTGTTTGTTTGTGTTACTGTGTGTGTTTTGGATCAAACGTGCATTTTAAAGACTTTTTAATCTTAGAAACTGAGTAGAATGCATAATTAGGTGTCTGAGTTGAAAAAAAATTAGTTTTTGATGGTTTACAATATTATAAAAACATTGGTTAAAACACTGATGTAAGTGATATAAACAGTCCTATCTTCCAAAAACATTTCCCTTTTCATTTGGTTATTGTTTATCTATATATTTTTTCTTATTTAATTTTCATGTTTTTTTTTGTTTGTTTTTTTATTACGTATGTTATATTAGTTTTATTTTATGTAAAAAAAAATGGTGTAAAAGCAGAAAAGAATGCTGACCTGTTAACGACTCTTTTGCCTATTGTGCTTTAGTTTATCAGTTTTAATTTATTTTCAGTATTACGCCATTTTTTAGTATTCTTTTATACATGTAAATATTGATCTTCTCATGGATTGTTTTGATTAATTTGATTGTTTAATTGAATTATTTATTTCATTTTTAGTTTTTTTTTTATTAATTTATATGATAGTTTATATTCTATTTATATTTAATCCCATTTAGTTTACCTAATTGATTAGTTTTTTTATATACAGTAAAACCTATAAAAGCTAAATAATGAATTGTGAGGTAAGATGGATGAGATCCACTAAAATAAGCTTTTTTTGTGTTTTAAATATTCATAATTGTATTTTAGAGTACATCAAAAAAAAATTTGTTTATCGTTTTGTTTGCAAGTTTTCAGACTATATTCATGTTTTTGTTTAGAAGCAACTGAAAAGGTTTCTATTCTTATTTGTACCCTGATTCTTTGGAACATTTCTTTCTCTCTTTTTTTTTTTCCTTTGTGTGAAAATATGTTTGTGTCTTTATAAAGGGTATTTCGAGAGACCAGCTCCCAATGTAAAAGTGGGTGTCTCAATTCGCAATCTTGTCAAAATCTACAAAACCGGGAAGAAGCTGGCAGTTGACGGCTTGAGCGTCGACTTCTATGAGAATCAGATCACATCATTTCTAGGCCATAATGGAGCTGGAAAAACAACCACAATGTAAGACGTTTTATTTAATCATTTCATTGTATTTTTCCCACTCGTCTCAGTATTTGTACCAATTGTACATAAAGAGCTGACTTTTTTGCTGCTATATTTATTCTGAGTTTACTGCTAAAAGAATGATCTTATCATGAGGACATCCTTCAGAAAGATTCAGCTGTTATAACTGACAGTGGGTGTTATCTAATTGCTGCAATAGCTAAAAAAGGTTGGTTGGGGTTTTGGATGACAGAAAATAAATGAAAGGCAGTGGCCCAGAAAGTATGAGTGACACAGAGAGCAAGCGATGCAGGACTAAGGGCTGCAGGGAAGACGTCTGCTCTGAGCCACTGGAATGAAACCTAACAGGGGACAATAAGAGGAAGGACAGAGTAAGGACTCCATCACATGCTAACACACTGGGCTGCTGGATTTTATAATCAGTGAGATGGACTATTTTAGCTCATATTATTTGTGTCAAAAGAAGTAAAGTCCATATTCGTCTTAAAAATATATATGAATGTTTTATTCAGTGCTTCAGGTTACAAACTTATAACGTCACACTTATAATTTGCTACATGCCAGAATATTTTCTGCTTTCTTAAAGTTAGACCTATATTCACATTTCCTTTACACTAACTTTTAAATAGCATCAGATCAAATGTGTTGAGTCTCCTGCTACAAGAGTCTCAGAACAGTTGGCTGGAATATTGGCCCCTTTCTTCTAACAGGATTACCATAACTTAGTCAGGGTTATAAGTCTGCCTCGTTCTCATAAGTCTTTTCACCTTTTCTTATTTTCCTTACTCCCAAAGGTAGATTTTTTCCCCTTTTAAAAATAAATTGAAAAGCATTCCTTCTTAGCCGATCTGTTACTTGTACCATTAGACAAAAAGGCTAAGGAGGCTTCACTCAAGGTTAGGTATTGTTTAGTGAAATCTACTTCTCTAGAGTCTTAAAACTAAAATATAATGAAATAAGCACTATATGATCAAATAAAGCATATGCAACAACATTGTTGCTTATATTGTCTTTCTTTCAGCACATGTTGAATAAAGGTCAGTGTATATATATATATATATATATATATATATATATATATATATATATATATATATATATATATATATATATATATATATATATATATATATATATCCTTACAAACCTTTAACCCAGACATCTCATCCCTTTTCAGCAGTAGTAGTTATCAAAATTCCAGTGAAAGCCACTTAGCGGTCTATAAATAAAATAGACCCCATCATAGAATACATAATGCTTACCAATGAAAGTGTTTGTGCGAATCTGAAATCCAAAAAATGAAAAAAAATAAAATAGAATTTTTCATGTCCAAACTACCATTTAGGTGGCAGTTTTTACATTTAAAGGAGATTGTAGTTTATTTACTGTTCACTACAACTATCTACAGTTCATGTTTCATTGTTCGACTGTAGAAAAGGTAGTAATACAGTACTACAAGGGATGGGTGAAAAAAACTTCTAAAGGAGGACCTAGCAAAAGAACTGAACTGATTCAACCCATGAAGTCAAACTAAACTTACGATAACATTAAGCTTCCTGATTAGTGTGATCAGTTAGCTTGCTCTACCTTATGTACAGAAATAGTAAGGATTCTCATTCACATTCAGAATCTCACATTGTTATAGTTACTTTAAACAAGCTAAAGGTAAACATACTCAATGGCAGATCTTCTCCACTGAACAGACAACCTCTGGTGTTTTATTCAGTCTGCATGTACACTAATCATCCTTCACTACCAGAGGAGAATTAGAACACAAGGTTTTATTATTTGCTTTGCTAAATTTAAAGGTTTGTTTTCCTTTGTTTCTCTTGTAGGTCTATCCTGACAGGTCTGTTCCCGCCTACATCCGGAACAGCCCTCATACATGACTATGATATTCGCACAGACATAGATAACATCAGGAAGTATTTGGGAATGTGTCCACAGCATAATGTCCTTTTTAATGAGTGAGTGAATTAACATTGTATAGCTGTTACAAAATGGAGGGCTGTGGTTCTTAGCATGACAATGATATGTTCCGCTAGCCTGACGTAGACCGACTCAATTCTAGTCAGAATATGAGTCTGATACTGCTCCATAGAGCTGTGATTATGGGGCGTGTTTCAAACGAACCAGGAAAAAAAAATGCCTCTGCACTCAATTGGATAGACCTACAACCAATAAGAGCAACGGAGTGCGTGACGTATGTTAAGCGAGGCATAGTTGTTGTCCACAAAAATCAAAGCGTGCAGTTTCACGCCTAGAATAAGAAGATGAGACTTGATCGCGTTTCTCTGTTCCTCTTTTAAAATTAATTTGCTGTCGATATCTTCTAGAACAGACCTAATAGCAGAATCTACTCACCCAAACTCTCCAGCGGCAGCCATTATTGTTGTCACCCAAGCGCGCATTGGTCACGTGGTTGATAACGTTACTGTTGGTCATCTGTCCATCATCGTATAAAGCCCGCCCTGACAATTTGATTGGATCGCCTGACAGTGGCCGATAATACTCGCGCTACTATGGAGCAGAGCCAGACCGAACTTCCCCGAACTCAAACCTTGTGGGCGGGACTAAGTTCGGACTGGCACCCAGGCTAATGTTCCGCATAATGAGGTCTCAAAATGGCTCACTCACAAGAAACAGTATGTTTCAATATTTTTTAAATATAATTATCTTTATTCAGCGTCTCCTCAATCTGCTGTTACTGATCATGGTCTTTTATTAGCTGTTTTGCTTTCTGAGTTTCCCTCCAAGGGACGTCCTAGTATGTACGTAATGCAAATCTGAAAGCCTGATTACAGCAGATCACCTACCAATTAATTTCTATGGTAACTTCTAGTCTCTAAAAAATTATTTCTATGCAGTTTGGAAAAAGATTGATTTGATTTAAATGTTTGAACTGTCCATCCACCACTCCATTTCACAATTTTTTATTTAGCTCAAGAACAGTCCCGAATTCACACATTTTAACATTTATTTTCGGCATTAAAGCTGTCGAACCAATGAAGAGACTTTGCACAACTCCTGCAGAGCTGAAGCTCTTACTGCCAAGAGCCAACAAGCCAGAAATCCCAAGTTCCAAAAACTACTTTCAGGGAGATGCTTATCGAACCTCCTGAACTGCTGTAAAATTAGTCTTATATATTTGTTTTTTACTAGAGGATTCAACCTATTTCACAGGATGCACTGCTTTGAGTGGTAACCAGGTGACTGTCAAAGAGTAAACTGGAACTTATTGGCTTATTTTTCTGACTAATCCAATCAGCAGGAACTCTGACAACCAGTCGCCGCGATATCAGCAGCTTATAACCCAGTGCAGCTTATATATTTACGTTTCCAGTTTTTTTTTTTACTCTGTGGGCACTACTTGCATATATATATTTATATGTATATGTGTATATATATATATATATATATATATATATATATGTATATGTATGTTCACCATATATGTTCACTGCAATCCATGCAGTCCACAAATACAAAGAAATGAAACCATAGATGTACAGAAAGTGACTTATTTGTAATAGATTACTGAAATTGATTTAATACTATGTACAGAAGCCTTTGTTGGTAATGGCAGCTTCAAGACACCTCATGTATGGAGAATTAGTAACAGGCATTGCTCAGGTGTGATTTTGGCCACTTCTTCCACACAAAATGTCTTTAAATTTTGAAGGTTTCATTGGACTCTTCTATGAACTCTGATCTTGAATTATTTTTAGATTTTCGACTGGATTCAAGTCAGTTGATCGGCTGGGAGATTCTTGCAGCATTATTTTCTTTCTCTGAAACCAATTGAGAGTTTCCTTGGCTATGTGTTTGGTGTCATTGGCTTGCCGAAATGTCCACACACATTTTATATTCATCATCTTGGTAGATATGATATGACTTGGTAGAGTTTTATTAGGAATGTCTCTGTACATTTTTCCATTCACCCTTCCTTCAAATATTTGAAGATTGCCAGTACCATATGCTGAAAAAGAGCCCCACATCATGATGTTTAGTGTTTTTGGGGTGATGTGCAGTGCCATTTGACCTCCAAACATGATGTATAATATGACATCATTGGACCAACCTATATTCTCCCAGTATTTCACAGGCTTGTCTAAATGTTGTACAGCATACTTTAAACAAGCTTCAACATGCTTTGCCTTTTGCAATGGCGTCATCCGTGGTGAGCAATTCCAGGTCTTTCTGAAGCCCTCTACAAGTGGTCTTTGACTCTTAGACAACTCTAATTGTTTTCACTCCTGTGTCAGAAATCTTGCGAGGAGCACCTGGTCATGGTCAGTTAATGGTGAAATTATGTTCTTACCGCTTCCGGATTATGGCCCCAACAGTGCTCACTGAACCATTTAGAAGTTTAGAAATCCTTCTGTAACCAATGGCATCATTATTTGCAACAATAAGGTTGCAAAGGTCTTGAGAAAGCTCTTTACTTTTACCGATCATGAGATGTTTCTGGTGTGATACAAGCGAAACCTTGTTATACCCCATAATTTGGGACTGAACTTGCTGATATTAATTTGCACTGACAAGGGGCAGGATTGCTTTTTAAATACTGAAAGATTTCGGCCGATGCACCTCTCTTTCTCCACGTTTTCAATAAATTTTCCCTGTGCTGTTTCACATTTTTACACATAACTTAATTTCTCAATACCTATGGTTTGATTTGTTTGTATGTTGGATTGCAAGGATTGGATTAGATGGATTGTTACATACAGCTGGTAAAAATGTAATATTAAACCACCTCTAAAGATATATTTACTCAGAAAAATGGTGGCTTGTTCAATACTTATTTTACACATTGGGAAACCATTTTGTTGTATAAAAATGTGCAATAAAAATTAAAGGGGCTGTGTTATCATATATTATTATTGCTTAAAGGCATCTAGACCTCTTGAAATCTGCCTAAAATATTATGAAAAATAGTGTTATCTCAGTCATCATAGGCTGGCCATACAGTATGATAAATTCTCATAATAAAGGCTTTAGTTTAAAACGGTTCTTTTAAGACTATCCTCTGTGTCTGGAGGATAGTCTTTCAATTTGATTCATAACATGAATCAAATTGAAAATACAGAAAATGAATAGAAATAAGGAAGGTGGTTTATTTTAGGCCACTATTCACTAATTAATTCTACTGGTCTTACATGCCTATTTTAATTCTCCAGGCTTACTGTGGAGGAGCACATTTACTTCTATGCCAGGCTAAAAGGACTTAGTAGCAAAGAGGTTGAGTATGAGATGGACCAGATGATTGAAGATGTTGGTTTACCACACAAGCGGAAGGAACTTGCTAAGAACTTGTCAGGTGAGGCTCGGCATACCATGACTTATCTATGTTACATCTCAGGTAGTATGATTGACATATTACCAACCTATACATTTTGTTTTTATGTGTTTGTATAAGTTTTTCCTAAGAAAGAAATGCTGCTGTTAATCTATTCCTCTCCCCGCACCTACATGGATCTGTCTCCCACATCCACTGTACCTGTGCTCTGTAATTCATTGTCTGGGGGGCACAAGCAGGTCTTGTTTGATAAATTGTCCCAAGTCATGGAATGCTTGTGAGCAAAATCACTGAATTATGACTTTCAAGGTTGATCTATGCTGACATTTCCACTACATTAGCTCCGCACTGGATGCATTTTGAAGAGCCTGCTAAGAGAGAGGAGCTGAGAATTATTGTTGTGAAAGTGTATCTGCCTCCTGGCCATCAATCATTTCACAGCTTCCAAAAGGCAATAAAACACCAAGTGGAACACCTCGTCATACTTATTCCATAATCACATCCCAATATTGTGTCTGTATTGAATTTGAAACTTGATACTGACACACAGTGTGTGTTATGTTGCTTATAATAAACATCGTTCAATACAAATACAAATGTGACTTTCACTTTAGCTTGTGTTTAAGGTTGTGTTTCTAGTGACACAACCTCAAACCTCATGTCCACCTAAACTGTCAGGCTAGGGTAAAGAGACTCTTAACCAGGGGAGCAGCTAAGTAGTCCATTATAACTGCGGAGGAGCTGCAGAATACCTGCAGCTCAGGTAGGAGAATTTGTTAATGGGGCATCAATGTGTGCTTTAACAATCTGTTCCTATAGAAGAGTAGTTTCTTTGAACAAAAGATTGTTGACAATTACATTGAATGCCTTGCTTACAGTCGCCCTACAATTCATTGTTATATGCTAATAACAAAACATAACTTATCATTTTAAATCAACTGTTCTCCAGGCTGTGAAGGTATTTCTTTTATTTTTTCCTTTGACCTTTGGCTGCTTTTTTTTTAAGTAGTTGGTAATGAAAGCAAAATCTAAATAGTCTGCCTAAGGGGAAAAAGCAGAAAAGACGGTGAAAAAACATTTGAAAAATATTGATCCAAACCACCACTGAAGATGAAGAGAGTTGTGCAAACTGCATTTTAAAACGATTCTGTTTGTTTAAACCCTTTTCTTCAATGTTTTTAAGGTGGCATGCAAAGAAAGCTCTCTGTTGCCATAGCATTCGTCGGTGGTTCAAAGATCGTCATCCTGGATGAACCAACAGCAGGAGTTGACCCTTATGCTCGCCGTGGGATCTGGGATCTACTGTTAAAGTACAAACAAGGTAGGAAAGAAGAACTTACTACAGCTTTAAAACCTTTTAATTTTTCCAAGTAGGTTGGATTTCTCATGGATGATTTGTTCTGTTTCAAACTAAGAAACCAATCTTGATCTGAACAGAGTACATAGCAGCTGACAGGGCCCGATCTTAAATGCAAGTTATTAAAGCCATTAGGCATTCAGAATGAGTATGAAAGTACTTTTTTAGCCCTGCTGTCAGTAAAAGTCAACCTTTAATGGGGAGAAATTGTGAATTGTACAAACACTGGTCAAAGTGGAAGAGAATACGAGTAGCTTTTATTGACAGACTCCCTAATTGTCTCCTGAATTAGTCAGCCTGTCACTCTCAAGCTTTATATACACTGATTGTTGAAGACTATAAGCAGAGCATGCACATTTTCTCTGCAAATGTCTAAATGTTTAATGTGCACCGAGTGACATTCTACCCTCACTGTGTCATTAGCATCTGCCTCTCTCTAATCAAGCCCTTTTCACTCCAATCGTTAGCTGCAGATAACTCGGTTCTAATGAGAACCCCCACATTGTGGCTGCACAAAATGACTCATTTTTGTTTCTCTCTGGTTTAATTCGAGCCACAGTGTTATAAAGGGTTGTCATTAAGCAAAGGATGGGGAAAAGGCTATGGGGAACCTATTTGTATGAAAAAGCGAAGGCTAAAATTGGATGTTATATTACAGTTCATCACAGCTTTTTAAATGTGGAGGTTTTTCACATGGACAGGTTGGCCAGATGGCTCTGAAGTGGTTGTAGCTTGCATGGTGGATTATTTGTTTGGTGGCACCTTACCTTTTATTCTAAAAATTACTTTTAGGACAAAATACTTTGAATATTGATTGTATATTAGTGATTTTAAAGGTTTTATTTAGATATGAGTGTTAGTTTTATTGATCAAATCCTGACATTTGTTGTCATATTTAATCTTTAACCTACTGAAAAGGTTTATTTAAGGTTTACCCTGGGTTTTATTGCCTCTTCCCTAATATTACATTAGAACCTTTAAACTTTCTTTTTTGTGTGCATGATGAGGTTTCATAATAAAAAAGGTTAACGGAAAAAAAGTTAAAAAAAAAAACAAGTAGAGATAAAAAAAGAAGAATGTATCATATTTTAAAAGGTTACAGTATGGAGCTGAAAAATTATGATTTTTTTTTGTTATTTTGCAATAATGGAAGTTGCTTACTTTTCTGTTGCCCCAGTCATTATAATTTAAACCCTGAGAGAAATTGATATCATCAGTGAAAATGTTTGGTATGGGCAGTGTAGCTCCATGCCCAGGATGGACAAGCACTGCTGCCCTAAGAGTAATATGGAAAGGTAGTCAGTCTTGCATTTTTTTGTTGGCTTGTATGTCTGGTGATCTGAAATGTTGTGGTGTAAGAAAACATAGCTGTGCATCCAGTGTTGTTTTTGACAGACATCCTAGATGTAGTCTTAATTTTCGTCTGCAGGACGCAGCAGCACAGCTGATACTGACTAGCTTGTCTAACAGATTACAGCATGATGATGCGTTTTAAACGTCTGACAGACCACCGCTAACGTTTCTATTTAGTCTCTTCCCATCAACGAAAACTCACTAACATGACTCGTCATGTTTTCATAATCAAATATTCATGTTAGTGTCTTAAAAAAAAGGACCGTCAATGAAATTATATCCTCATCGTTCAAGTAAACAACAATGGGTGCATCGTGGGTGTTTGAGATAGGTTTAGATCTACAATCTATGCTCATCTGTAGCTTAAAATCTAAAATGCATAGATTGGTAAAAATTTAACGGAATAATTAAGTCTTTACCTAATGAATGCATATTCAATACAAAAACAGATATATAAAACAAGTTTTTCTGCATAGAATAAAAGTAGACAAGCATGGAAATCACATTCACTTTACTAAACTGATCAATCCAGAGGTAAATACAGCTATTAAAAACAAAAGAAAGAACTTATTCTGTCATAAACAGAATTAGCAAAAACAGCACTGATACTTGTAAATAATACAATTAAGACATGAGAGGTCCTTTTTAATCTCTATTTTATTTCACATTTGTATGGGTATCAAAATTGCTAAGAAAGTTTGCAGTGTTATAGTGGCTAAGCGCCTTCTGGAGAATGAAACATCAGTTTCTTAAACTTTAATCGGAATACTACCCTTTCATGTCTATTTCTTATATTTTTCAATATTTTTTTCTAATATATTTTATAAAAAAAAATTCCCTTCTGTCAGACATTGCCTTATATTATCTTGGTGTATATATGTCATTTGTGTATTACTGTTATTTTTATAATTAGAATTGTTTTTCTGTGCAAATATGTTAGTTTTTCCATTGTGTTAGCATTTTGCTTTTTTCCTCTCTCATTCTTAAATGCTGTGTAACAGGCTCACAGTCTGCCCCTATGTGGTAGAATAATTATTAGCTCATTTAATTATAAAATAGTTCCCAACCAGATGAGCCATTGAAAGCATTAAGCATGTGGAGCTAATTAAATCTTCATCAGTACAGGTAGAGCATCTGCATAGAGAAACATTAATTCTGGGTTATGTAGACTTTAGTGTACCAGTTGAGCATATGTGCAGCATATAGCGTCTCCCTATAATGTGAAGCTTATGCCCCAGAATTTTTTACCTTCAACATTTTAGTGGCAGTCTGGATCAGCTGGAGATAACTTTAGATAAGCTACAGCCTAAAAGCAGAAAAACATCTGTATGCCATATAAATGTAAGGAACATAGCTTAGTACTACTAGGGTGGGGTGATGGTAGTAGTTGAATTGCTTTCCTGCAAATATAAACATAGTTCATGTATGTTGAATTACAAAATGCATATTTGGAGGTAATAGAAATGAGTGCAGAATGAATGCAAATAATTTTAGAATAAATGAAACTTTATGCATTTCCGGTAAAAATGTTATTTATTTCATGGTATTTTAACAAAACCTTCGTACCAAATGCTTTCTCTGAGTCAGAGTACTGCAATATGGGTTTTTAGGGCATACATAATCGACATGCCAATTATCCCAATTAATGTTGGGCTGCGTTGTCACTGTTGCAGGACATACGTGAGGAAAAATATAGTGATAGTTGCATTTTCACAGATTTTTACATATGAGATAGCAAAGAAAGAACAAGAAATATCCTATGAATGTATTCATAACATCTTGCATTGCACTCATGTTTATTTAACAGAAATTGTTTCACAACATTTAAGTGTGACTATAAATTTTTGACATTTTTTATAGTGAACGCAGGGGCATCTCATTATTAATACCCAATTGACATGTTGTAAATTATGCTGTAATCATTTGTGATTCATAGTAACTATCAGAAACCTCAGTTAACAGAATTTGGTTATATACTGTATCACAATTCTGAAGTTCATTTTATTTTCATCCTACCTTTCTCAAATATAACATTTCTATCAACTTGATTTAGAGGAAAGGAGAATAAAAGAATCCAGTTTTCCACCACTTCGCTGTATGCATGGCGACTATATATAAGAGCAATTTACCTGAACGCACCCTTGATATATTACCGTATGCTGCAACCTGCTGCAACACCCTATAAATCAGAATACAAATATGGGCCATCTGAATCCAAACATTTTTTATTCTTTCAACTTGCAAAGGATTCAAATCTTTTGCACACAAAAATACATACAGCCAACCCACAAATTTATCTCTCAGGTTTGTACATCCCATGCAATATGAGGCTTGTCAGTTGAACTGAACTCCTTGTCATCCCTTCACTTGCCCCTTTTTTTTAAAGCATAGTTTTTCTCTTCTTTATGTTAAATTGACTGTCTGCATTTATGAACCTGGATATATTATTGTAGTTTATACAGAAGGTATGCTGTGTTTGCAAGGAATAACATCATGCAGCAGCAATGCTTAACTGTGAAGGGATGGATTAAGCAGCTCAGCTGGTGGCAGGGCAGACATCGGTGTGGAGGGAGAGAGAGAGTATGGAGAAATAGTTGGACAAGCAAAATGGCTGCATTGGGCCACAGTTAATGACCTCTCAGTGTGTCCTTGTCCCTGGGATAATGTGACTTGTGAGGATACAGATTTAACTTTGTGCAAAAACAGCGGAGCTCAGCACAGTGCATGACCCTTTGCAGTAATAACCACCCCAACATTTGTGAGGAAAGGGTGAAAACCCTTGTATGTACTGAATTTAGCTGTCTTATGTCTGACTGATGTCTTAAGATTTTTTCTCTATACATTGGGAGAACTATAATGTTGTAGGAAAACTTCACCCCCCTAAAAAACTGACTTTTCTGAACCACAGAAGCAAACTAAAAATATATCTGAGAAATGATTTTGGTTAGAATCCTGTTATACTATTTCCATAATCAACTTTTTCTTTTTTTTAAATAGCAGAAACTTTTGAGAAATCAGGAATGATGTACTGTATTTTCCAGACTACAGGCTGCTACTCATCTTCCACAATTTGAACCATGTGGCTTATAAGAAGGTGCAGCTTTTCTATGGATTGTAGAGCTCCCCCTACAGGTTTGGTGGGATACAGTTCAGTAGATATCAGCGGCTTTTAGCCTGCTGCGGCTTATTTATGTACGTTTCCAGTGTTTTCCATAAACTTAGTGGGCACGGCTTATATTGAGGTGAGCTCTATATTCTGGAAAATACGATAGTTTAGTAAATGAGATAATCAGTTAAAGCTACAGTGTGTAATTTTCAGCGACATCTAGCGGTCAGACTGCAGACTGCAGCAACATGAACGTCTCCCCCCCACCCCTTCTCCCCCCCAACAGTACGGCGAGCGTTACGGGACAAAATGTCTTCCACGACGTCCGCATCACCTACCTTCTCAAGTGATGAGGTTTGTTTACATAGATAATTTTACAGATAGTATTTCATTAGTCTGTGTAGGGTATAGATTTCATGTAGACTTTAGATAATAAATATACCCGTTATTTTTTCTACATCGTTGTGACGTTTTGGTGAGCTGCTTTGCATGGTGATATAAACAGATGAAGTAATTGTAGTCATTAGTTTAACAGCGAGATTGTGTTCGCTGGAAGAATATATATTCCCCGTTTACAGAGTCCAAGTCTTGTTTGTTGCACGGGGGTTACAAGGCGAGGAAGAGGGCAGAGGGCGAGGGCAGAGAGGGCGGGGTGGGCGTGCAGCGGTGCCAGCGGGGTGAGAGCAGAGGAGGAAAGGCTTGAAGATCTCCAAAGGAGCCGGAGAGAAGTAACCGAGGTATATATCCAGAAAATTATTTTACAGAAAATTACTGAATCTTTACCTGTGAAACGTCAGGGACGTTGCTGAATAAGTATACTGTAGAGTAACAGCATCATCACGCAGCATGTTATTGTTTTAGACAGGTCTGAGCATCCTGTACTCCAAAAACTGCAGTGATATTAGACAATTGTGTGTGTAGGATTAATTACCTGTCCAAGAGAAAACTGGCAACTTGAGCGTCACTTTGAAAACCGTTTTCCTCCATCAGTGACTTCCATCGTGTAAATTCCGTGCCAATGTTGATCCGTGTTTTTTGCCGTTTCTTGTCACGCTTGCGTTTATTCTCGTTGTGTTTCCGCTTCTTAGATGACGGGGGTTCGGTGTCCGCCGCTTTTCGTTGTGATACAGAGTCGGCATGATCCTCCATTCGTCTGAACAGTTTGCAAAGTCACTCACGCCTGCCGCCTTGTTCACCTTTCTTGTTACTGAGGCGCAGTATACCTGCTTCTTCTTCTTCTTTGGTTTCAGGCAGACTAAACGCTTCTCAGGCATAATACTGCCATCTACTGTTCAGTACCGTCTCAGTTAATCTCTCTCAACTTGCCGTAGTTATTTTCGAGCGTAATGGGCGATCTCGCAATCGCTAGTTTGTTGGCTCTGCGCTGCCGTAGCGCAAAGATGTCTGCCTCCATGGCTGCGAGACCCGCTCCTATGTAATTATAAATAACGAATTCTAAGGCAACGCAAATATTATGGTTAAAAGGCTGAGCTCATAGGTGATGATAAATAACATAGTTATGTATAATATATTAAATTTCTGACTTTATATCCCTGTAATTATTACACACTGTAGCTTTAAGTCCGTCTAAAAGTTAGGTAGGCTACTTCAAAAGGAGTAAGCCACCAAAACTTACTGCAACTTCAGCTCACACCCACAACAGTTAGTGCTTACTATTATTAATTGTACCTATTAAACTGTGAGGTTATACAGTGAACCTTTACAAGATATTTAATTAGCATAATGTGCGAGTAGCATGCAAACAATTAATATAGGCATTAATAAAAGATCACTAGAGAAATAATTTCAAAGCTGTTTTATTTCATTGTAATCGAGGTAACAGGTTAAATGTTTCCTACTTAAAACATGACTAGATCAAAAAATCCATTTCCCTCTGATGCTGCTTTCCTGCAGACAGCAGAGACAGGAACACGCTGCGACTTCATTACAGATCTGCCTTTTTTTCCCCTTGCTTTCTGGGGTATGTGATAATTAATATGTGTTATCTGATCCAGCGTGATGTAAAAGGATTAGAACACCTGTGAATAATCGTGCGATTCATGCCGTTTTTGTTACTGCAGTTGCATTCAGTTTGATGCCTCTCGAATCAAAGGACTTTGGGAACAAAACATAGAGCTGGAGTAAAATTTGTCTCCCATAGAAATGTTGGAAAGCAGGCTGTGGAAGGCCTTTATTGTTGTTTTAATTATGTCCCAGTTTCAGGCCCACATGCTTTTCTTCAGTTTGCTTTGTTTTCATGCTCAATAGCATGGGTAATGAAAAAAAGAAGAGAAAAAAAAAAGATTACAGTGAAATCGACTCTAAAGAGATAAGCGACATCATGCAGAGACAAATTTGATCTACACAGTTATATAGGAAACCTGCCCCTTGGAGCATGGTTATTTCCTTACCAATATTTGTTAGACATAACTGTTGTGTTTCTTCGTAGGTCGAACCATCATTTTGTCCACTCATCACATGGACGAGGCAGACATCTTAGGAGATCGTATAGCCATCATAGCCCAAGGAAAAATGCGATGCTGTGGCTCCTCTCTCTTCCTGAAGAAGTGTTTCGGCAGTGGCTACTACCTGACTCTGGTTAAAGATGAAACAGGAAAGAGGAGCAGTCAAAGGAAAAATATTACCCGAACTACATCCAAGGTAAGCATGTGTTTCAAATACCTATTTTTAAACACTATTTATGTTGTCAGTCTTAGCATTTGTGCCTTTGGTAGCAGGCAGAGTTATTAATATTCTGTATAATTAGGGCTCCACTTAAAGCTGTGTTTCACATTAGATAGTACATGACTATCCTAACATACAAAGCCATAACTCTCCATTGAGATTTATAGAAACAACAGTGAAACCCTGCCTCTCCTTTCTAAATCAACCAGCAGATTTGTTGTGATTTGTCAAGATCAGGGTTTTACAGCATAAGTCAGATTAATTCTATCCCCGCAAACGAGGCACTTATCTCATAATCCGCAAATCCAGCTTCTAACATCACAAAATACCCTGGGACAGTCGAACAACTCCGTCATCCCTTATGAATCATTATTCTATGTGAGAATCTAAGTTTATTTAATCGATGTTTTATAATATGACAATACAGTTACAGTCGTTGTTTTACCGCTTTTCCTTAATCTTGCAATTTATGGTTGTGGCTCTCAAAGATTTAAGCACAGATACAAATTTTAAGAAGAAAATTAGTTAATTATGGAAAACATCAGCCCTTTTGTTTATGTGTGTTATTTGTTTGATTTTTTAGTGTGCACCTTTACATATGTTGTCTGTGTTTGAAGATGAGAGAGAAGATAATGAGTTCTGATATTACAATCTTGATTTTTCTCTTTGTTTTTATTTTAATGATCACCAAAATATTTTAGGATTAACATTTTATACTTTATCACAATCACAGAAATACTTCATCCACATTTTAAGAATTATGGAAATTAATTTAATCAAAAATTCCCATTTACTTTTCTTAAAATACTGTATTAAATAAACCTTCCATGATGCATATGCATCAATTTAATATATCCTTTTTAATTAAAAACCACACTTGCCTGTTTGATGTATTTTAAATTAATTAACTATACTTGATCAAAATGGATGAGTATATTTATGTCAAATACATTGATTATTGAATAATAATCAGGTTATCTTTATGCAATTCAGAGAAAAAACTTTGTGTTTTTGATATAGATACACTCATTAGTATTAATTTTGACCAACTATACTTTATTAATTCAAATTATATAAACCTGACCTGCTTATCTGTGTAGAATACCTTAAAATCTTTGTTTTTATCATTTTTGTGAAAGCTGAAGAGTTTTATATTAAACTGTATTAGTTTTTTTTTTTTCTGTTCATTCTAAAGTGGAATGGCTGGTGTTCTTTTTATCATTTTCCATGGAACAAACAAAGACAGAACTCAAGGTTTAAAAATACATGGCTAGAAATTATTATTGAAAATTTGATGCTAAGTGATACCAAGCGAAAGTTATTTTTTTTTTTGGAAAGATGTGCTCGATCTATAGTAGATGTAGCAGAATGAACACCTTCCAATATTGTAGGTTCCCCTTGTGTCCAGACATTCCTCAGTTTGTTTTTCCTATTGTCTCGTTGGTCATCAAGCTGCTGCTTGGCAACTGTAGGCCTCTCTTTTGTTGGGGAAGCCACTCGTCTATCGTGGTACATGTCTCACTGCTTGACTTTTAGCAAGCCCTTCGGGATGTTTGGAGAGTTTGGTGTCAAGTGTGTGACGGATCTGGTGTGATAGTGGTGTATGGCTTGCCAGGTCTTTGCTTTGGCAGGCTCTGGCATAGCTGCCTTGGGGGCAGAGGGTGTTGTTGTGTATTCTTCCTTGGCAGCATGGCTAGATAGAGCCATTGTATGCTGGGAGGCTCGCTGCAGGTGGGTTGGGGATCCACTCGGGGCTGGGGAATCTTTTTGTGCAAGCCACATTGATTAAGCAGACATGGGTCGCCTCGTGGTATGGGTGCCAGTGTTGGGGCTGCACTAAAATGACAGTGGGCGCTAGCTGTTTGTGGGGAGCCAATCTGCTCCCTCTAAACTGACCCATTGATATTGGCATATGGAGTTCATGGTTTCTGGACTAGGCTCGATTTACAGTAATTGGCTCCACAGAGATTTTGTGGCGGTAGGTGGTCAGCTGTCTGTGGGATTATAACGGGCACATTATTTTGGCGGCATGGAGGTATTTCCATCCTGGGGTTGATGTCATGGGTTGGGGGCACAGTAGGAATTGCCCATAGGGACCTGCTGGGTCTTCCAAAGGTGTTAAACAACCTTTCTTTAAACTGTTTTAGGATGTAAAGACAAACACATACATACAAACTCACCTAATTTACTAAATATATATATATATGTGTGGAAATACCTGCAAGCACATTATTCCAGGCACACAGAATAGGCACAGGAGAATACAAAATTCTGTCTTATACTGCCTTTTAAATGAAATAAAAAATCGTCTTTGATGTCTCATTTGTAAAAGTAATTTTGTTATATTTATGAGTTATTTGATAAAAGCTCTAGGTGGACCTAACAAAAAGATTTTAATAGCATTTTTTCTGTTGTAAAAATGTTGATTTCTATATATATATAAATTCTATTTGACATTGTCTGTTATTATTTAAACGGTTAAAATTAGTCGCTTTTGTTGGAAAAATCAGCAGTCGTTTTTGTTGGATCTGCAACTTGTACCTCCAGAGAATGACATTTTAAGTAACAGTGATATATTTTTACTGTCATTAGGCCTTTCAGTGTCATTTGAAGACAAAACTGTCTTCAAAGTTTTGTTTTTTCTAGTTTCTATAGGAAAAGTTTATCAAAAATTAAAGGTTGGTCATGTACCTTTTGCAGCTCTTAAAGAATTGTTTGACACAAATATGTTTTTGTTGTTGTTTTTTTTGTAATATAAAAGATCCATTTGTTTGTCTTATAGTAAATTAAGACCTACTTGCCTTTTCTGCCTGACATTTTTCTGAACTGCTTGATTAAGTTCCTATAGCTTTTGTGTTACTTTACTGTGTTATTTTAGAAACACAGTATAAACAGTTCTCTCAACTCTATTTTGGGATATAACTTTTATTTCTTTTGTATTTCTTAAGGATGAGGATTGGGGACACACATCCCATTACAGATTAACCACGTTACCTGCTGATGTATGCACAAAGCTTTATTTAAGCTAATTAAGTAGAACTTGGAGAGGCACATTATTTGATTAATGTTTCCGGGGACTCTTTGAAGAGGCACTGCTCATCATTCTAAGTGGTAAGGTATGATTCAGCCTTTCTAATCTAATTCTGATTAACAGGAAACTGATCGTCCTTTCAGGAGTGGTCCAGACGATGGCTTCAGCAGTCCGACGTGGGATAATTCTAAACAGAAAGGTACAAGGTTATCTTGGTTTATACTTTAAATATATTGAAAAAAAAGGATACATGCTTTATAGGTTATTCATTTGTAATTCAAACAAATTTCAAGTTATACCAGCTGTTCAATGCCCATTTTCCTTACCACTCTTTGTCTTAAAGGTAATGTGGAGGATTTTTCAAAAGACTCGCCCTCTCCACTTTAAATAAAGAAATGCACATGCAGGAGCATGCACTTTTTCTCCTCGTGCACACACTGTTAAAAATGTTTTGGTCTCATAGCTCATACAAGCTTGCTGCGTCCATACAGTGGGGATTATATAGGGGACTTTATAGCGAACTCAGTTATCTGACCATTCGGACAGATGATCACTGCTTGTTTCTCCGTTGGTCACGTAACTCCTCCTTCATGCAGTACCTGCACCATCTTTATTATTAGTCGCCACTCCCAGGTAGCGACAGCTGGCCACAGTGACAGCAAGTCCCATAATGCTTTGCAAGGAGAGCTCTCCGCACAAAGCATTCCGAAATATATCTGCCTTTTCTGAGGCCTTTCTTTCTTCTCATACACTTCGTAGACACTTTTTCCCTTACGACCAGGCTTCAATGACTGTCTGAACTCGTAGCTCACCACACATATATGCCTTAAAGTGCACATGTGAAAAGAAAGGTAGCTAACTGGGCGAGCACGTAGGATGGCCTTACATAAACATATTCCCAGAATGATTGACAATTAGGAGGACCGCTTGTTTAAATGATCCATCCGGCGATAAAAGATCGTCCTTTATACCTTTAACTTCCTTAAAGTGTTTTTGGCAAATCAACTTGTTAATGTAATTTATGATGGTTTAAATCTAGTTTCATAGAGGTAGACTTACATTTTAAAACTGATTTTACAGATAATTATTTCACAGATCAGATAAATTAATTAAAACCAAGTTAATTTGAAGTAAAACATGCATTTAGCTACCTTTTAGAAGAGCTCTCAATTTTATGTTTATTTTTGTCTTTTTTTTAATACTCTGAGATTACTATTTAAAGGAATAGTACACCCAAAACATGATTAGCCTTCATTTTCTACTCACCCCCATGCTGAACAAAACTCTGGAGTACTTTTTTGATATCTCAAATGCATCTGGAGATCTGGGAGGCTTCTTGCTGTCTGCTGACATTCAAATAATGGAGGTCTATGGCGCCCGAGACAGAAAGGTCCATAAAAGTCCACAAAAACGTGTCAATATTCCTCCATACTGCTCGTCCAATGTAATCCAAGTGTCCTGAGTGGGTAGCATCCAGAATTTACTCGAAACGAAGTCATTTAGAACGTTTTAGAGCCTAAACAGTAGTGTATAGGATTTCCTAATAGCGCCCCCATGCGCGCTCACGATTCTACGGAAGCCGGCAGACCAAACCAGCGCATTCAGCTCGGCAAAGAACTCATGCTCTTCCTCAACACTGAAGTCCTCAGACATTTTTCTTTCGTTGTTTCTTTCTTTGCACAGGTAAACAGCACATTTCTTCTTCTACGCTTGCATTATCGGCAGAGCAGACGCTGAATGCGCACTTTCTTCCGGTTTGGTCTGCCGGCTTCCGTAGAATCGTGAGCGCGCATGGGGGCGCTATTAGGAAATCCTATACACTACTGTTTAGGCTCTAAAACGTTCTAAATGACTTCGTTTCGAGTAAATTCTGGATGCTACCCACTCAGGACACTTGGATTACATTGGACGAGCAGTATGGAGGAATATTGACACGTTTTTGTGGACTTTTATGGACCTTTCTGTCTCGGTCACCATAGACCTCCATTATTTGAATGTCAGCAGACAGCAAGAAGCCTCCCAGATCTCCAGATGCAGTTGAGATATCAAAAAAGTACTCCAGAGTTTTGTTCAGCATGGGGGTGAGTAGAAAATGAAGGCTAATCATGTTTTGGGTGTACTATTCCTTTAAGTGAACTCACGTCACAGTTTATAAAATGATCTAAACTGCCCTCAGTGATATAGTTTGATAAATATTCATAAAACATTAATGTTCCACAATATAAATTAAACATTATAATTTATTCAATAAGGAAAATACTGTCTCTACATGAAATACTTAAATATCAGATAGAGCAGAGCTTAACAGATGTAATCACATTTTTATTAGTGACACCCCATTATTTTTTATTAGACTAAAACAAGCAGACCACATCACCACACAATCACACCTGCATTCTGAAAATGATTCAGTCTGAAGTGCAAAGTAGATCTATTTACTTCTCCACAAAGTGCCAAGCCAGTAGTTGTTAAGCTTCAGTAATTATGTATGAGAGGCCCTGGATCAATAATGGATGTGTTGTGTTCTGCAACACTGTGCAGATTGATCCTCACTAAATCCCCGCTTCTGAGCATATGATGGAGAGGAGTTACAGTGAGTACAGATGAGGTGTTTTTGCAAATGTCAAATCATCAGGTGCACAACCTCCCCGCTATATTTGCCCGTTCATCTTAAAGGTTGTATTTGTTTGCAAGTATTGCACCGGCACTGAGTATGACCAAATAGCTTTAATATTGCATTTGTTTGTAGCGACTTGGTGGGGACTACCATTCAAATAGTCATGCAGAACATGCAAAAAAAAAAAAAAAAAAAAACTTTCCATTCTTTACAGGTAAAAGTATTTTAAAGAATTCTGTGTTTTGTTATTTCTTAAAGCAGATCTTGCCGCTGTGACTCAACTTGTGTGCAGCTACATACCAGAGGCTACGTTTTTGGAGAGCATCGGTCAAGAGATCACCTTCATCCTGCCCTACAGCGGAGCCAGAGATGGGACCTTTGCCACACTCTTCCACAAGCTTGACCTTTCCATGGGCAAACTCGGCCTGACCAGCTATGGTATCTCTGACACCACATTGGAGGAGGTAAACTTAATGCAGCTCTGACAGCACCAAAAACAAAAAAAAAAACAATAGGCTCACTCCAAAAGTCTTACAAGAGTTCAACCCTTATTTTATTTGTTATGGTTTTTTTTTTTCTTAATTCAGTAAGGGTAAAATCCCTAGTTAAGGCTCTTTTTTAAACAATCAGTGTCACAATGAAATAGGAAAAACCAATATCTTTTAAATAAAATTAGCTTATACAATTTTATGCATACTTAACATTTTTAAGTTCATCAGTATAATAAGAATTTCTAAATCATTCTAATTCATTCTACATGTTTTTTTTTTTCAGATTTCCCATAAATGAGAATGTGGTATGAAACAGAGGCCAATTTCTTTTAGAAACTGTCCTAATCTATGAGCCATGCTTATCTTGTCATCTATCAGGTATAATGAGCAGAAGGTGACACACTTTCCAAAGCCCAGTGTTAAACAACTATAGGAAAGAGTGACATCTCTGTTCCCTTTGCAAGCAAGATGAATCGTCATGAGACTTGGGAAGACACAAACTCCCGAAAATACATCTTACTTACCAGGAGCCAATAAATGCATTAGCATCGATACATAAATGTTTCAGACTAATCAAATGCTGTGACGTGTATCAACCATAGGAAAAAGGCTGAAGCAAAACAAACATGGCTGCCTTTGGTTTTTGCTGGAATACCCTCTATTTCTTATTGATAAGAACACAAAAGGGTGAGATTTTTGCCTTTGTGGATGGGAAAGATGTTCGATTGATTTATCAGTTAACTCCACTAGTTGTGAAACTGATCTAGAATGTGATACATCACAGCTGCTACTGCAATTGGCTATAATCTTGACAGGGGAAGCAGGTGACATTCGCTCGGCGAATTGTACTGAATGTCCCTCCTTTTTGCAAAAACTTAATTCTGGAGGCTTTCCAGATGGACAGTGTGTAGAAATCAAATTGAACTACATATGTCAATCTGGCTAATGCCAGGTTAGCATCTCTGGGTCAACAATTCGGACATTAGAGATTATTTACATGCCTATATGTACTGGTTTTGGTGGTCATGCCTTTAAATAATTTTCTGTCTCACTACCAAAACTTAAATGTGGAGATTATTTTTGGACGTTGTAACCAGAACCGTATTAGTCAGCGTAATCAAAATATCAAGGTTTGGGAAAAAAGCTATAAAAATATGTTAGGCGTCCAAACAAAATATAAATATGTGGAAAACACATTATCATTACTCTGACGTATGGTGGAGGATTTGAGATGCTCTGAGTGTTCTTCTTACACTAATGGCAGAGGGAATCACACTGAAGCAGGTTCTGCTGGAGGTTTGTTTTTTCTGTTAAAAGGGATTTTTTTCCCCCTCCACTGTCGCTGCAAGCATGCTTGGTGTGAGTGATTGCCTTCGAGTCTGAGTCTATGAAATCAGCTTTTTTTCTATAGATAGAACCAATCTGACTGTATGATCTGGTTGAATTGTCTCTATAAAGTGCCTTGAGGTGACATGTTGAGAAATGGCGTTATATAAATAAACTAAATTGAATTGAATCTAGTTGACTGTATTTGAGTTTTTCTGCTGGATATAGATCCAAAACGTTTGGTAGATTCATATAATAATTTTAAGCTTCTTTCAAAACAGTCGTAGACTCCAGACTGGAATGCCATTGAAAACCTTAGATTTATGCTGATGAAGATTCTCAGTCATCTAGGTCATAGTCATTCCGTCCAATCCACTGGACTTGGTTTGGTTTGGTCTTCAAACATTGGAAACCAAGTCCAGTAGATTGTTTTAAAACTTTTATGGAAAACCTTAGATTTGAGCTGAAGCAAGGAGAAATCATACAATAGGATCCAGGACTCAGATATACTATTCAAAGATATTGAGGAAACATGAGGACTTAAGTGCTGATTATTAAACAGTTCCAGGTAGTTGAACATAGCACAGGACCATCTATAAAACATCTTCTGTAATTTAGTTAAAAATAATTGTTTACCAAGTTCTTTTCACAAAACTACTTAAATCCAAGAAAAGATATCACAAAAAAATGTTTGTGTGAGAATATCCTACAGCAAATTCTTTCATGCTCATACGTGCCTTTACCAGGATTTCAAAGTATGCCTAATACTACTAATACTGTAATTAACAATTTATGTTGGAACATTTCTTCCCTGCTGTTTTAGTTTATTCTATTAGTAAACTGAAAATATACTATTAAAAGCCACACTTTCTGTATTCTTGATTTTTCACTACAGTAAATCGAAGCTATAATTTATTCCAGAGCAACAGCAACAGTTAGAGCTGAATGTGTTTCTGTTAACCAATCATGATCCGTTTCAGTACAGTTTCTTACTTTTTGAAGCAACTTTTTTTTCCCTTTTTTCTTAAAATTGGTGCTAATAATATGAAGATTAGCTTCTTTCACTATTTCAGCCACTTGCGTCAGTTTGCTTTCATAGAGATGTTATTTTTTTTATTTTGGCCGCATATATCAGCGACATCACAACTAGAAACTGACAAATATGTCCTTGGTGATTGTAGTACTTTAGGTTTCTATTTGAACTGACAGGTTCTATATGGCTCCTATAATATTACACAGATATAATATCAAAGAGGTTTTATTTATATGTATTTATTTTCCCATGAAGATGACTCATGATGTGAGAGTGCTGGGCAGACGTGCCGTTTGATCACAAACGTGCATGACTGTTGGCTAATGCTCTTCATGTAACTTAGACATGCCAGAAAATCATGGCCAGAAGGCAATGTAAATAATTCCTTTTAAATTTACAAAATGTTACCATGACAAGCCTTTTTTTCCCCCATACACGCATTTCATCTTCTGAAGCCTGAATACACACTCAGATGATTATTCGAGTGTTATTAAACACACGTGAAGATATCGAAGCAGTAAAAGTTGGTTGAAACAAACAAACAAAAAATAAAAATCCCAACTGTTTAGGAGTTTGGATATTTGCTGTAGTGTTAAATGAGGAAATTAAAATAAGTGTTAGAGGAGAGGGTCTTATTTTTGTTGTGGCACTAATCAGAAGGGGATCCCCCAAGAGCGGCTGATGTTCACCATGAGGGGTTTGAAACAAGATAAGGTAACAAATGGCTTGATCTCTAAGCACAGAGAAATGAGCAGAATAAGTAAATAAGGCTGAAAGGGGGCTCATTATTAAAAAAGCTACACAGCATGCAATGAAATACCTTTTTTTTAGCAGGAACCTTTTTCGTTTTTACCTCCACCTATGAAAGGTCTCCTAGGTTCTTTGTATCCATAAAGGCACTGTAAAATAAATAAAGTTCGAAATTAGGTTATAAGTCCTGTGTCATATATCAGCAATGATTCATCTTATATGTTTGTAATAAAGCATCCTGTGTTTTTTATTTAATTATTATTATTTTGTCTATTCCACAGATATTTCTGAAAGTGGCAGAAGATACCGGTGTGGATGAAAGTATACCATGTGAGATAAGAAAATATTTGCATGACAAACAGAAAATGGTGTTATATTTTTACTTACAGTAGGGAAGTTTATTTTATTTTTATTTCTTTTTAATTATCTACTTGATTGCTTTCTTACTTCTGTACTACAGTTTCTAGTTAGAAGTTTTACTGTCAAACACTTGTTAGTTTCAAAAAGTAAACACATCTTTCTCAAATAAAACTATCCCAGTACCATCCATCCATCCATCCATCCATCCATCCATCCATCCATCCATCCATCCATCCATCCATCCATCCATCCATCCATCCACCCATCCATCCATCCATCCATCCCTAGACAGGTTGCCAGTCTATCACAGTCCCAATACGATGTATAATTTCAATCCACCAACACCAACAAAACCACCAACAAAACCACCAAGAACCTTGGGTGTACAACAAACAAAAATTCAATCATTTGATTAGGTTAAGGTCACTGGCAAAGATGGTTGTTATTTTGGATGACGGGCAATTTAGTGGCATATTCAGAACCAGAAATGTTTGAGAAATCTCTAAGGGAGGAGAACAAATATATATATATGTAATATTGGAAATGTGTCAGTTCCTTGAAAACACCTGAGTTTGTGCTTTTACTTGGCATAATGTGGCATCTTGCGAGATAGGGAGCTATTCTTATTGTTATTTATATCCTTAAATTGGGTCAGGCCAAACAACATATCTTATTTGTATTCCCACAGCAGCAAAGGAGCAACTGAGTAGAGACTGGAAAAGAAGCTCTCGCCAATCAAAGAGGAACAGTTTTGCCCGCGTCCGCTCTAAATCAGAGCACAACGGTATGAGTGGCATGTTTGGAATGTACCTTATATTGCTGAAATACTTGTTCATTTCAATTATTTAGTTCAAAAACTGAAAGTCATGCTTTATTAAGGTTAATTCAACAGGATTGTTATTCAATCCTTTTTAGTCTTGATGTTTGTGGGATATAG